CGTGTGTGCGTGTGTGTGTGTTCAAATAAATTTGAAAAGTTTATACATAATTGTATGTATATGTATACATATGTATATATTTGGCATTCAGATATCATTTTCAAAGTGTTTGCATAACCACTGTCTTTCAAAATATGCACAGCAATCCTATGAGCCACATATTACCAGTGTGTTTGAAATGAATGATCAGGAAGTTAGTTTGATTTCTCAAGATCTTGACAGCTGTGAGACAGAGCAGGGCCCTCTATAATTCTGGCCTAGCCACTGTCATCCTTCTAAGAAAAATATTGAGGCTTAATTTTCTCAACTCAAAGTCAAGATACTTGGTTTTAGATGGATTCATAATAGCTGGAGCTGGAAATCCAGCAGAAAGTCTGGTACATACTGTTCCTGTGGTTTCACCCCAGCTGCTTTCACTATTAGACGTCTGCATGAGTGCTCATTTTAAAGCTCCTTCGATAAATCTCAAAGATACACAAAGAAGAAAGAGGGGAGGAGAACTTTGATTCAAGTTTTGTTAAAAAAAACCAATTTATTGCTTGTGATACCATAATCATCATATTATATTACAGGCACTATTTTTTAAAATTCATGTTCTCTCCTCAAGGGGAATAAGTTCATGCATTACCTATAACAAGAAACAGTATAAGTAGGAATTAGATATACCAGCACAATAAAACACTACATTGAACCACGCAGATTTATGATAAAGCCAGTAGAGGTTATTAAATCAAGCACGATTTGTTGTGTGGGGTGTTTCAAGTTTGATTTTACAAAGAGAATGCTCCTGGAGGGGAAAGGCTCATACATACAAAGAGAATTTAGAAGCAGATGGCAATCTAAAACCTCTAAATTCTTTCCTTAGATCATGCTACACCATGAGACCTCTACGGTTTTGGAGGGAATTGCTTATTTCCTTATACAACTATCTCAATAGGGCTGGATTTATGGGGTTCTGTCTTTAGCTTTTACTAAAGGTCAACATAAGAAACAGCCACATGAAGTCTATGAATGCTTTTTTCTACAGGATCATTAGTGCTGGCCTATTAAGTTCTGTGTGAAGACTTACTCTAATGCTTTATGCACAGATGTTTTCATCTCTGGATAAGTGACATTTCTGTGCTGCTAGAACCATGGATTGTCTTTTCTCCTTTTTCTTCATTGCCAGGACCTCAAAGTAACACCCTGCTCCCTCAGGATGGGTGCAGTCCCATTTTCTTGTCCTTAGCTTCCTGATTTTCCATTTCAGCTATCTGGAGTCACTGTTAATACACTGTGCTATAAGCTACTCCAGGCTGCTTATGAAAAAGAAATTGAGTAGAAAAACAAGTAGGTGAGAGTGAAACAAGCAAGCTCTCCCATCACCCAGACAAGGCACACCCACATCTGGGTGGTGCTGACAGGCGCCCTCCAGCAAAGCTGCAGTTCCCACCCTTGCAAGCCTCCAAGGTGCAAAGGCAGGAAGGGGCCACAGAAAGGGGCTGGAAGGGGGAGGTGACAACGATCCATTTTAAGGGCACTCCCATAGCTTGACCCTACATATCTATCAACTTCCTGGTCCACAGAAGCCTTTCAGAACGCACTGCCTGGGAGGCAGGGAAAAGGCCCCGGTGGGAAATGACTTTTAAAGATAGGAGACCTCTCTGTCCACGAAAGGAGGAAAGCTACTGCAGAGCAGCCTTTTCTTTTTCTGCGTATATGCAAAATACAAGATGGAGAAGAGGCTGTTTGCAAAGAGAAGCATCAGATGGGCATTTCGTTCTACCATGATCTAAGTCTGACAGGACCACGCCACGGATGCATTGATGGACAATGAGGGCTGTAATGACGCATGTCCTCAACACAGGGGAGTCATCCTTTGTTAAAATTTGACATCAGTTCAATAAAGTAATCTTTTCATAAGATACAAATAATGCAATACATTGTCTTTATTTTCTGAATTACAGATTTGTTTAACACTTTCCTTTTTTTACACACCTTGGGAATTAAGGGTAAAAACGTGTCCCGCGTTTTGCAACATTCTTTGTTACACACAAACACACACAATGAATAATAGAGAAGAGCATACAGAAGAATTAAAAGAGGGTTCACACTGGACAGGCCGACGCTCTCAGTAATCATGGAGATAGTGTGACACTTCTTAAATAATGCTAGGAACTGGGACATACGGTCATATACTTTGGTACATGCACGGGTCATTCAGGCTGCTTTTCCTTTGCTTGGTTTGGGCTAATTTCTTTGAGGCTGTTGCTCCTTCTGATTGCTTCTGAACCTGACCACACTGTGCTCCAGAACAGGACATGGTCAGATAGTCATGATGCCTCCATCTCCAGAAAAAAAAAAAGTGAAACGACCTTATGAACCCACAGAGTGGTAGGTTCTTGGCTGGAGAAGAGGATGGACAGTTACCTAGGCTTCACAGATTCTTGCCAACCCACATTTTTGGAGAAAACTTACAAAGGTATGAGCTGGACAGTCAGCTATTGTCACAATCTTACATGATCAAACACATCCGTTCTGCCGCTGGGGTGGGGCAGGACCTAATAGTTATGAGACAGGAAGAGATTTAATTGCCTGATTCTTGTGAAAAGTTTCCACACCTTTTCAGAAAAAAAAAAATAGAGTTGAATATTCATGGTGTGGAGGTTTGCTCCTCTGTGCTATAGTTTGTAGGACAAGTTAACTTTTGTGCAAGTCTACTGACTTTCTATTAAGAGAAGGGTCTAGTCAGTAACCCTGAAGAGCACAAAATCAATCTGAAACTTCGCATCCTTGGGGCTCTAAAACATTTTCAACAGATCACAATTTGCTCTATCTTCTGAAACATGAAATGGGCCTTCTTTTGGTGCTGACAGGATAGCAGTGATAGTTAAAACAAAATGCTAAATTTTATAATCTCAATTCAAGCACCACATTGAAATGGAAGCAAATTAGTATGACTTTTTTTTTTCTCTCCAAACTGAAGCATGAACGTACATTAGAGGCAAAGCATGAGAAAAACGGCAGGACGGCAGCCCCTCCACTGTTAGTTAAGACCTGCAGTAGGGGACATAACTTACTCCCTGCTTCAGCTCTTCTTCCTACAGAAAGATTGAATCAATAACAATTAGATCACCCAGGGTTCCAAGAACATGTATACAGCGTGAAGGAAGGCAGGGAGGGGAAGCGTCAACACAGCTTTAACACCCCTCCAGGCCTCTGCCACACTGTGCCAGGAGTTCCAAGCCCATTTAGGTATTTGAGACAACAGACCCATTCCTTTCTCCAGGTGTCTGATCTGTCTCCTACCCCAGTGCTTCTGTGTCTGGTACAAAGTCTGTGCTCGGCTGGGTCTGGCTGACCCCATGAGGGTGGGCAGCCGGTAGATGCCCAACTCATCACTAAAGTGAAGCAGCACTTCGTCCAAGTTTCCTGCCGTTCAGAGAAGGGCAAGAAGAGCTCGGACCTCACCATTTGGAGCATTTGGAAAGGGAAGTAGAAAAGAGCTTTTCTGTTGCATCAAAGGAGATAATGGGCTGGAAACAGCAGCAGGTTGTAACCACCTAGTCTCATTTTACCACATACAACAACGCCAATCAACCGAACAGCCCCCACCCAATTCCACACTTTATATGTCTAATGCACTAAAAGTAAATTTTGTTGAGTAAGGATAAAACATTTACCAAGCAGATTATTCTAGAACTTTTCTTCTTTCTTCTTTCTCTTTCTTTCTCTCTCCTTCCTTCCTTCCTTCCTTCCTTCCTTCCTTCCTTCCTTCCTTCCCTCCCTCCCTCCCTCTCTCTCTCTCTGAGACAAGTAGCCCAGCTGGCCTTCATCTTACAGCGATCTGCCTGCCTCTGCCTCCTGAGTGCTGGGATTAAAGTCATGTGTCACCACACCCAGTCATCTCAACAGATTATTAAAAAGGGAACTGAGGACCCAAAACATTGGCTAATTTATAAAACAGTAAACAAAACAAAACAAAACAAAAAGCAAATGAAAGAAATGTTATAAGTGCAGTGTCTGCGACAGAAAGCTTCAACAAACAATGTAAAGGAATTTAAACAAAGAAAGAAAAAGGAAGGAAGGAAGGAAGGACAGGAAGGAAGGAAGGACAGGAAGGAAGGAAGAGGAGAAAGGAAAGGACACAGAGAAACAGGGATCCAACGAGGGAAGAGAGGGGAGCCACAGGGACCTTAAACCAAGATGTCCCGCCTCACAGTGAATTGCACAGACACATTTCCTCCTGGGTCCTATCAGAAGTGGTTCTTGCCTTTGGCACATAGCAGTTCCTGCCTCTACTGGTTCACACTGCCTCCCTCAGGCCAAATGACCACACAGCACTGACAATTCTACTGGTCTGACTGTGGCCATGTGGCCACCTACTGTTGGCTTGGAAAGTAAATTAGTATATTCTGGTGAAGGAAATGTGGCTTTGTTAAAGAAGAATGCTACTTCCGGTGGAATAAAATTTACAGCACTATATTCAGGCCCTTTACCACTTCTCTGTGAAAATACTCTATCCTCAGAGGCGAGGAAATGTCCATTTACAACCTGCCTTGAGACTTATAGAAGTCATATGACTTGTCGAAGCCACACAAATGGCATAAAATATTTTACAGCAATTAATAAAAGTTACTCCTCTTCATGGAGCTGCTATTGCCAAGGCTGGTTAGCTGCAATCTCGATTTTCTGAATTAGATGTTCGATTTAGTCATAACTGCTGAAGTTGATCAAATGTAGTGCATTTCCAAACAATTCCAATTTTGTTATTTTCAGGGACATGGGGAGACTGGAAATGAGCAAAGGAATTTCCTTTGCTGTCTAGTTCTAGAAAGTGGCAAGAATGAGCTCTCCTGACTGCTACCGTGTCATAGGTCTAAGAAAAGGCTCTGTATTTGACTTTGCAGCATTTTGGGGGAAATCACATACGGTAATTGAGAAAGTCATTGCATGTTAGGTGGAAACAATTTTAAAATGCTGAAATGGTAGGTCAGGAACATTGACCTGGAATGCCTTACCTTTAGGAGCTTCATGAGGCCTTCCAGCTGGACCATCAGCTCTCTCCGGCTCTCCTGGAGAGCCGACATCCTCTGTTCCAGCTCATCCTTGCGCTGCCTAAGAAAGAAACCACCACCATCAGAAACAGCATTGGACTCACAGAGCGAACTCCACTGCGACAGGTTTCCAGGTGGGCAACTGTCTTCAAATGGATAAGTTGAAGGGGTGCCAGCTTGAGGGGTGCCGTCAACCGAGAGAAGCCCCATTAAATTTAAACACAATAAAAATGTTCTTGAGCGTTTCCATGCTTCTACCCTGAACGAATTAACCACTTAATGAAATCTCGTTGGAATGTTCACTATACAGCAGGACTGTGCCATTGGCTTGAGTAAATGAACCAAACTCCAGTGGTCACTGAAAAGGGTCTGTCCTACAGGACCTCCCAAATCCAAGGCAATTTTTGTAAATTCACAGAAAATATGAACTACCATGGTACTTTGAAATCTGACTTAGGCATGTGATTTAAAGTCTGTTCCAACATGCACGCACTATGGTACTTTTCAGATTTATTATGACCCATCTAAACTATTTGGTTCGGGTTTGTATTTATAAAATGAAGTTAGAGGGGCTGGAGAGATGGCTCAGTGGTTAAGAGCACTGACTGCTCTTGTGGAGGACCCGAGTTCGATTCCCAGCACCCACTTGGCGGCTACGAACCATCCTTAACTCCAGTTCCAGGAGAATCTGAAGCCCTCTTCTGACCTCCACGGCATTGCACGACACGGGTGCACTCACATACATGCAGGCAATACACTATACACATAAAATAAAACTAATAAATAAAATATTAAAAAAATAAAGTGAAGTTAGAAGGCTTCCTATATAATTGTTTTACAACTGAAAATGATATATAAGGTTTGTATCTGTTCTATAGAACTTGTATTAAACTGTCAGGTCAGCAAGGATGGAAACCAATCTACACTCTATCTATCTACACTACTAAGAGGTATGAAACTCTCTGTAAAGGGAGAAGAAATGAAACAGCTTGAAAAGTAATATTAGCTGGGCTTGGTGGTGCAGGCCTTTAATCCAGTACTTGGGAGTTTGAGACAGGAAGATCCCAAATTCAAGGTTTTCCTGGGTTACAGAGTGAATTCAAGGCTTGTCTGGGCAACTTAGAAGACCGTGTCTCAAAATGAAAAATAAAAAGAGGGCTGAGAATGTAGTTTAATGGCAAAGCATTTACCCAGTGAGTTCAAGGTCTTATTCAATTCCCACTGTTGTAAACATAAAATAGAATAAAAAACAAAACAATAAAACAGTGTGTCTCACCATTTTTGAAGTTCATGTATATTTTCCAAATTGGTATCCCATTATTTCATGATAGTGAATCAGTGTAGAGTTCTGAATGAGAAATATCTCTCACAGACTCATGTATTTGAACACTTGGTCCCTAGATGATGGCACTGTTTGGGAAGGTTATGGAGCTTTTAGAATGTAGATCCTTGCTGGAGGAAGTGTGTCACTGGGGTGGGCTTTGGGCTTCAGCTTACTGGTACTTCAATCTACTTTCCATGTGTAGTCAAGATGTGATCTCTCAGTTCCCAGCTTTAGCAGCTGTGCCACTTTATCTCTGATGTCATGGAGCCTCCTTCTAGAACCACAAGCCTAAATATACTTTCTTCCTTCAGCTGCTTCTGGTCATGGTATTTTATCACTACAACAAAAAAAATACTAATATAATGGTTATTAGTATTTGCCCCCAAAGGCTTTTGCTTGAATTTGAACTGTGAGAAATTATATCCTAAAAAGTGTGGGTGCCTTAAAAATGCATGCATTAAAAAGTATGAATGGATAGGCTTTAATGGCACAGACACCATACTACATAGAGCTGTGGCAGGCTCTGTCAAATGCAAAACTGACAGAATGGGAATGTCACATTGAGTTAGGCCATAACTCATTCAACTGAAGGGTATTTAAAGTAGGGGTAGGGATGAGACATTTTTAATATGCTTTCATGTATCTCTTTCCTATAATGACATGAATTTAAGATTCACACACACATAGAGTTTTCTTGACACCTATGACTTACTCCTGAAACAATACTTAATTTTCTTTTTAAAAACATTTTATTTATTATTTTTATTTTTCTGTTGTTTAAAAAAATTTTAAATTATTTAATAACCACATTCTTAGAAGAAGCATTTCATTACAACAGCATTGACATATTCAATAACGATTTCCTGAGATAAGATGCATCTCTTTCAAAATTGGCTGTAATTTTTAGGTTTACAGTTGAATTATTACAGTCACACAATATTATACTCAGTATATACCCTCTAAGACATAAAATTAAATGAGGCTTTAACCTTTAAAAAGATCTCCATTTCATTATTAAAATACACAGTTTCATATAGAAAAATTCATTTTTAATGCAATTGACATTAAGAAGTTTGCACATGTGTCTCTAATCTCTATATATCTGACTACTACTAGTCACAGTCGGTTACTTTCTGAGCTCCTTGGCATCTGAGCATGGATATAAAGTCGTCAGGTAGATTTCAATGGTAATGTTTTTCACATCTACTAATTATTAAGGAGCAAATTTTTATGCTTTGAAAAATTATTACTTTTTATCTTTTTAAAAATTTTAATAACTACACGATTAAAGGAAGCATTTCACTACATTTTACTACAGCTTTAGCATGGATATAAAGTCATCAGGTAGATTTCAATGGTAATGTTTTTCACATCTATTAATTATTATTTTTAATCATTATTTTATAATTTTTTAATAACTACATGATTAGGAGAAGCATTTCACTACAGATTTAACATATTCAGTAACACACTCCAGAGCAAGAGTACATCTCTTTCACAAGTGG